GGATGATCCTGCTAATTACTGAGCTTATTAAAAGTAGATTAGATCTGTTGCTTAATTGAAGTTACTGGAAAAGCTACCCGCACCTTCAGCACAGATGCACGAGGGAGAGGCCTCAGGAAGAAATGAAGTGAAATATGAACCCCCTTTTGCCTCAGCAACACCAGGCACCGCCTCCAGGTATAGACCACCAGGGACCACACCATTCAGGAAGGTGTTTTGCTCCCAGTCCTTCATGGAATTAGGGATCTAAAGTCCTTGGAGGACTGATGCTCTTGAGGTTAGAACTTTCCATGAGTCCATGGAATCATTGTGTTTTTGGAGTGGGGCTAGAGTGAGGAGGGCCCCCAGCCCTGGAGGTGGTTGTCCTTGGAGGGAACTAAGCTCAGGGCTAAATGAGAGGTTGAGAAACGCCTGATCCGGTGAGCCAGAGTATCCTGGAATTAGCCCTTATCTATAGGGATGCTTTGCTCCAGGAACCTCTTTCAGGAGGGGTCCGGGGGTGAGATACAAAGTTGGCATTATGATTGCTGGTAGAGTCTATGCACTGGCAGCAATGAATAACGTAATATCTGGTTTATCCATCAGGCTTCTGAGTCTTGTTGCCTTGTCTCAGCCCTGGATATGTGGACTAGACCCTGAAACCAAGGAACCTGGCAGAAGGCTGCCCACTTCTCTGTCATTATCATCCTCATTCTGATCTCAGCACTGACAGACACTTGAAGGCACAGCTACAGCCACAGATTCACGATATATTACAATTTAAAACTGAGGAAGACACTGTAATACCAGGTTGTACCTACCGTTACGAAGTGGGATTCCTAACAACATCCTTTGGAAGTCTGTTTAACTTTTGCTAAAAACCAGAAGTAAAAATTTTGAGTCTGTCCCTAGAACTAAAAATAAACCTAGGCTAGTGTCCAGGAACAGGGAACAGTTAATACGTGCTGGAGGAGACTCTAATCTCACTTCCGTTCTATCCTTCTCCCTCAGTGAAGTCAGAGTTCTAACACTCAGGCCTCCCCGGGTCACTGTCTCATTTGAACACTCTTCTGTTCAGAGTCCACCCTGCCACACAGCCCCCAAGGGTTTTGTAGGGACCAACCAGAGGCTTGCTTCCAGCTTCAGGTCTTGTCCGCCATCCTCCTCCCCTTGAATTCTGTGTTTGAGCCTCTTCATGGTGCCTTGCTTTCGCTTGTCTCTGGGCCTTTGCACATCTCGTTCCCTCTCCCTGGAACACACTTCCTTCAACCCTTATCCTCTCTTTGCTTTGCTAACTGCTCTTCACATTTCAAATCTCAGCCGAAATTCTGATCCCAAGACTCAATTAAATCCTTGCTGGAAACTCCCATAGCACCATGAACAACACTCAGCACATGCTCTGTTAGACTTGCTGGCTTCCGGTGCTTGCTCTCCATGCCTGTGCTGGGGGGGCCTGTGTTGGCCTTGCTCACCATGGACTCTTAAGTTCCTTTTTTAAAAATTATTTTTAACTTAGCTTTTCTTCTTAGATATTTAAAACATATTTAAATATTTTATTTTTTAAAGTAATCTCTACGCCCAACATGGGGCTCGAACTCATGACCCCAGGATCAAGAGTCACATGCTCTGCTGACTAAACCAGCCAGGACCCCAGCTTAGCTTTTATTTTTGTTGTATGTGCACCAAGTTGAGAATATCAGATAGTTCTACAAGGCCTAGAACCCTCGTTAAATTTCCTTTTCCCCATAGGCAACACTTTGAAACTTTTAACTGATTGTTTTTGTACTTATCTTTATATTTTTAATTAGCATGCATATACTGCTACCTCTTGATTTTTCAGTTTTAAGCATCTACTGATCTCTCATGATAGATGATGAGTATTTCAATCTCTCGCATACCCTCTCCTTCTCCCTATCACACCTGCACACATCCTGTCCCTCTTTCCTTTCCTTCTGCTACAGTTACTTATTTCTGGTTAGATCAGCATTCATTGTTTAAATTATTATATTTATGCAAATATTATTGAGCCTTGAGATTTACCATACTTGTTTTCTATGCATCATTTTATTTCCCTTGCAGTTAATAAATATATATGAATATTTCCCTCATTCTCTATGCATTTATCTGTAACTTATCTCAAAATCTTCCCAAAACTATGTATCTCTCTTTCTGTACATTCAACACATTAATTTCATCTTGAAGAGGTTTCTTAGAGCCTCTGGCTGCTCCAGTCTGGGCTGGTTGATTTCCAGCCCTACTGCACTGGAGTCTCTGCCCGCCTCTCCCTGGGCTCTTCACCGCCTCTCTCTAGACAGCATCCACCTTTCCCGCATTCCACGTCCTTTGTTTCCTTGGTTTAAATCCTAATTCTGGCGGTGTCCTCCAGCAGCCTCCTGAGAAAAGGAAAAAGGGAGTCTTGCATATCTGAAAGAGACATCAACTTTCGTACCTGATTGATCCTCCAGACAGAACCAGATTTCAAGGTGGGGATCATTTTTCCTCAGGATAATTTTTCCCGTGGAAGGGTTTGCTTCATTTCCTTGTAGCTCCCAAAGCTGCTGTAGAAAAGTCTGATGCCTTTCTGATTCACAGTCCTTTATAGTGAAACCTGCTGTGTTCCTCTCTGTAACCTTGAGAATCTTCTCCTTGACAGTCCCATGGGCCTGGGTGCAAGTCCATGTTCATTCACTGTCCTGGGCAATGTCCAAAACTTATATGCTTTGGTTCTGGAAAATGTTATTGAATTATTATGGTTTCTTCCCTCCATTTCCTTGGTTTTAGCTTTATGGAAGCCTTACTATTCTATTACTCTCTTGGACTATTTCTCTAATTTTCTTTTCTCTCATTTCCCATTTCTTTGTCTTTCAGCTCTACTTCCCATACGATTTCCTTTCAATTCTTCCATTAAACTTTTTTTTTTTTTTGCTTTCATATTATTTAGCATCCAAGGTGATACACATAGACACACACAGATACATAGTTTTCAGTATGGTACTCCTGCCCTTCACTGTGCCTAGTGATCAACTCCTACATAGGCTTGGTGCTGCCCGTTCCAGAGCCCTCTGTCCTGTGATATAACCTAGGTTGTAACTCAGCTTTTCCCTGTGCCAGTTTAGGGTTTAGCTTTCTTAGATCTGCTAAGTCAGTTATTACTTGCCCATTTGCTATTCTGTTTCCAACACTTTGTTGCCCTTGTCTCCCATTTCCATTCTTTGTCCCAGTGTTTTTTTGTTTGTTTGTTTTGTTTTGTTTTAAGATTTTATTTATTTATTTGACTGAGACACAGTGAGAGAGGGAACACAAGCAGGGGGAGTGGAAGAGGGAGAAGCAGGCTTCCAACCAAGCAGGGAGCCTGATGTGGGCTCAATCCCAGGACGCTGGGATCATGACCTGAGCCCAAGGCAGACGCTTAAAGATCTAGCCACCCAGGTGCCCCGGCCCAGTGGTTTCATGCTAAACATAAATAAATAAATAAATCCCCCATCGCTGTCATTTTACTGGGTTTTGGGGAGACAACAGAGGCCCAAACCTGCATCCAACCCATCATCTTTATCTGGCAGTCTATTTCCAGATCCTAGTATATTTCTTAGCACACAGTAAGTGCCCAATACAGATTTCTTGGTTGAATAGAGTATTAGAGATATTGGCTTTCCCTTCTTTGGTAACCTAAAGGTGAAAGCCCTTTAAATGGAGATCTTTTTAGTTATGATGTTTACTGCATCTCAGCTTGGAGCTCACCAGCCTATCTACATTATATTTTAGGCAACATTGGTGAAAAGTTGGTACTTGGTGAGTTGGTACTCACCACGGAATTGTGTTGCTGGAGACAAGCTACTACCACTCCTGAACTTTAGTCTGCCCTTCTGAAAAATGGGAACAATAATACCTTCTTCAACCATCTTGCTTAGTGCCTAGAGTGCATAAGAGTTCAGTACCAAAGCGACAATTCTTAGAAAGTCAGTGTTTTACTTAAGCTTAAAATTAGCCTTCACACTTGAATTGCAAATTGGTCCCTAATTAATGCCCGTCAGAGCAAAAATCTGTGTTCAACCTGACTTGACGATTAGACAGAGATTGCAAAATCTTTTCAGCAGAGTCAACTAACGTTGCTTACGGAGGGTCTACAACGTGCTAGCGCCCCTCCACGGTCAGGCGGGTGGATCCAGAACTTAAATCGGGAGTTACAAATATTTATCGTGTCTGTTCTGCAGACCTCGTTCTGAGCGATCCCTCATTCATTCTTTCACTCCCGCCGCACTCAGTCTGGCTTCAGTTCTGGTTTGTTGCAAGGCTCCCAGGGAGGGGATACAGACCCTTAGCTTCCTCTAGCCCGACCCACCCGGGACCGAGCACCGTTCGCAGCAGGGGGTCGTACAGCACGTCTTGGTCTTCACCGGGAAGTCTCCCAGCCTACTGCAGAGGACTACACTCTCTCCAGAAGAGAAACTAAGGCAGCGCCCTGAGAAAGCAACTCTGTGTAGTCTAGGTTCACTCTGATGCTTCCTTGGCCCTCATTCCTCTCCGTCCTCACAACCCGCTCACTCGCACGCGGGGATGGCAGAACTTGGAGCGGGTCCCTGCGGCCCCAGCGCACAGGCAGGTGAGGGCGGGGTCTGAGGAGACGGCGCCCCGCCCCGCCCCGCCCTCCGGAGCCCCGCCCCCTGAGGCCCCAGAGGCGCTGGCCATCGCCCCCGTCTCGCCGCAGCCGCGGAGCGCCGCCGAGCGGCAGGCGGGTGGGCACTCGCTCCGCCTCCTCCCGGCCCGCCGCGCCGGCTCCCGCCTCCTTCCCTCTCCGCCTGCTCCCGCCTCCCTCCCTTTCCGCTGCCGAGGCGGCGGGAGCCGAGCCCGAGCGGACCGAGCCGCGGCTGCAGCCGGGCGGCGGGCGCAGAGGAGGCGGCGGCGGCGGGGCGGGCCGCGGGCGGTCAAGCAGGCGGCGGCGGCGATGCGGCGGCCCCGCTGAGCCCGCGAGCTCCGGGCGCCGGGGGCCGGCCGCGCGAGGCGGCCCGGGGCCGGGCGGCAGCATGCGGAGCGGCGAGGAGCTGGACGGCTTCGAGGGCGAGGCCTCGAGCACCTCCATGATCTCGGGCGCCAGCAGCCCGTACCAGCCCACCACCGAGCCGGTGAGCCAGCGCCGCGGGCTGGCCGGCCTGCGCTGCGACCCCGATTACCTGCGCGGCGCGCTCGGCTGCCTCAAGGTCGCCCAAGTGGTAGGTGCCGGGCGGGGCCCCAGGTGCGGGCGGGCGGCCTAGCTGGGCGCCTTCCCTCCCCGCTCCCGCTTCGGGGGCGCAGGCCCGGCCGGCCGCCGCCGCGCACCAGCGTCCCGGGGCAAGACTCCAGCCCTTCGCGCTCCCTCTTCCTCTCGGGGTCCTGGGCCACCCTCCCACCTAACCTGGGGACCGTGCCCTCTCCAGCCCCTCACTTCACCTGTGCGCCTCCTACTCGAACACCTGCCCCCCCCCCCCCCCGGGCCTACCTGTACACTCCCGCCTTCGCCGTCTCGAGCCTTCTTCATTTTGGGGCTTCGTGGTCAGCGAAGCCCAGCGCGGAGGTCATGCTGTCCCCTGAGTGACTACTGGTCACAGCAGTTTGTGGCAGGTTTTCGGGGCCCGCACAACCTCCACCTCCCCTAAAGGCCCTTCTCTGTGTCTGCTTCCACCACTGGGACTGTGGCTTGATTTCCTGCGCCGCACCTAGCGCAGTGCGGGGCATAGGGTAGACACTCAACAGATGTGTTGTATGGAGGCATGTAGCCTAGATGCAGTGGGGGGTGCCCAGATCTGCCCCTCAGAGTCTCCAGTTTATAATGCGGAGGTTTGATTCCCCCTGATTAACCTAGAAGACCCAACCAGCATCCTTGAAGCCTCTGTCCCGGCTGGGTGGCTGGCATTGCCCAATTGGTACCCAGAGTTAAATCACTCGAGGAGGGCAGCCAGTGTTGGAGGCAACAGCAACAGAACTTTCCGTCAGACTTGTCGCTCATTTCTCAGAGTTCTTATTTTCCGCTTCCAGGGTATTTAGGGCAGGGGCCTGCCAGCCCTGCCCCTCTTTTATGGTTTTGTAACAGGCCTCTCTGGGTAGTTGCTTAGCTCTCTTGCCGACAAGGCATGCTCCAGTTCAGGAAAAAAAGTGTGTCCCCACCTTCCCTGTCCACAGGTAGGCCTTCCTCTGAGGCCCCACAACAAAACTTTATAGCCTTCTCAGCTAAAGAAGCCATTTGCTTGGAGCTGCAATATATGTACATTTTGTTTCTTCCAAGCACTGGGCTTATGCTTACTTGAGTACATAGATAAACATCCCTTAGGAATAATACAAAATGTGGATACCCTTCAAATAAAGGTCTCAGTATTTGTAAATTGCAGAATCTGAGACTATTTTCTCTCTCTCCTGCTTGTTCTGCTGATGGCCAGGGGATATTTTTGAAGGGCTCTAAAGAAAGACGAATGGAATAGGTTATCCCTCTCTAGAATTTTTAAACTGCCCTTATCCGGTAAGCTGGAATGTTCTCAGGGATATGTTGGTTCCGTAGTTAGGCACTGCTGTTAGCAAGGAGAATGGAGGAGGTTGGGGGAGGGAGGAGGGTGGTGCCTTTTAAAAGAGGCAGCTAGCCAATGTTTGAGTACAGCCCGATGATCAGAAATGAGTAAAGAAAAGAGCAGGGCGTGAACTTGGACCCAGGTGGAAAATAGGACCTTCTTATGTACCTTCCTTTGTTTATTCCGTGGACTTTTGAAAGTAAAGAGAAATTGCCACTCAAAGGATCTATGTAAAAGAATGAAAATAAGTAGTTTGTATAAAGCTCTAATTGCCTTCTCAGCGCTGGAACTTTGTCACTGAAGGCCAGAAATGGAAACCGGTGGTGTTTGTCGTTGCCTTTTGGTAAGGTGCAGTTTTGTTGTAGAAATTTGCTTTTCATCTGGAAAAACTTGGGGGCCCAGTCCCTAAAATCTCACGTAATTCTGCCATTTGTCTCATGTTTGAATTTAAACGCAAGAGGATGTGTGGGTGAGTGAAAGAAAGGGACCCGTTGGAAGGCTATGGCAGCTTGAAACAGTCTCCCATTATGTGGCTTCTCGGTCTTGATCTCAAGTCAGGGATTTTAGTGGGGACAGGGACCCTCACAAAGCTCGGAGAAATTGGCCTCTAGGTTTAAGAAGTCCTTATGAAGATATTTTAAAGATGTTACAAAGTTCAGAATCCCATCAGGAAATATGGGTAAGTTTTAATTCTTACATTAGAGCTTATATTGTGGTTAATGTATTGTTTTGAGAAAAATCTGACTTTTTCATGGACTTTTTTTTTTGTGGTTTGTGGCCTTCTTGTAACCTGTAGCGATCCTTGGCACTCCCAAGTGTGCTCCACAGAACAGCCACGTTGCCAGCATCACAGAGCTTGTTGGAAATGCAGGATCAGAGAGCTTACCCGGGACCTTCTGAATCATAATCTGCAGTTTAACAGGATTCCCCCGGTGATTCACATGCACTTTCAAGTTTCAGACTTTTCTTTTTTTTTTTTTTAAGATTTAAAAAATTTATTTGAAAGAGTGGGAAGAGAGACAGAATGAGCAGGGGGAGAGGGAGAAGCAGAAGCAGGCTCCCTGCTGAGCAGGAATCAGGTGTGGGCCTGAATCCCAGGACCCCAGGATCATGACCTGAGCGAAGGCAGACAGATTGAGCCACCCAGACACCCCTCTATATCATTTTAATATTAAAGCTTCACAGTGGTGTTAGCAATCAGTTCCTTTTTTTTTTTTTTAATTTTTAATTTATTTTCTTGACAGGGATCAGAGGCAGGGAGGGAAGGGGGGGGGGGGGGCGGGAAGCAGGCTCCCCTCTGAGTAAAGAGCCTGATGTGGGGCTTGATCCCAGGACCCCGAGATCATGACCTGAGCCGAAAGCTGAGGGTCTACCAGAACTATTAATACTCAACCTCAGGGCTGAGGTTTTTTGTTTGTTTGTTTTTTTTTTTTTTAAAGATTTTATTTATTTGACACAAAGAGAGAGATCACAAGTAGGCAGAGAGGCAGGCAGAGAGAGGGGGAAGCAGGCTCCCCGCTGAGTGGAGAGCCCAATTTGGGCTCTGATCCCAGGACCCTGAGATCATGACCTGAGCAGAAGGCAGAGACTTTAACCCACTGAGCCACCCAGGTGCCCCAGGGCTGAGGTTTTATTGTAAAACAAGCCTATGCCTCTTAAAAGTATTAAGAGAATGAGATGATGTAGAAATTAGCACCTAGCATTTTAGGTGCGTAGTTAGTGTGTAAGAAAAGATAGATATCACTGTTACTAATTAATATTTCCTGTCTTTAAAGAAACTTGGTGAAGTTGCCATCCCCAAATTACAATTCTATGTTTGAATTAAAGATAGTTTACTTCCTAGTGATTTCTTTCTTCCTTTTTTTTTTTTTTTTAAGATTTATTTCTTTATTTTAGAGAGAGACAGAGAGAGCGAATGGAGGGGAGGGTCAGAGGAAGAGGGAGAGAGAGAAGCAGACTTCCCCAGTGAGCTTGGAGCCTGAAGCAGTCTCAGGACCTTGAGATCCTGACCTGAGCCGAAATGAAGTGTCAGTTGTGTAACCAACTGAGCCACCCAGGTGCCCCAGCTTCCTAGTGATTTAAAAGCTAAATTGATGGGGTGCCTGGGTGGGTCAGTTAGTTAAGCATCTGCCTTTGGCTCAGGTCATGATCCCAGTGTCGTGGGATTGAGTCCTGCATTGGGCTCCCTGCTGGATGGGAAGTCTCCTCCTTTCTCTGCCCCTCAACCTGCTCAGGTTCTCTCTCACTCACTCTCAAATAAATAAATAAAATCTTAAAAAAAAAAAAGTTAAATTGATATTTTAAATGGAGTTTTTAAAAAGAGTTTATTTATTTACTTGACAGACAGAGATCACAAGTAGGCAGAGAGGCGGCAGAGAGAGAGAGGAAGGGAAGCAGGCTCCCTGCTGAGCAGAGAGCCCTATGTGGGGCTCGATCCCAGGACCCTGGGATTATGACCTGAGCGGAAGACAGAGGCTTTAACCCACTGAGCCACCCAGGCGCCCCTAAAACAAATATGGAAGTCTTCACGAATTTGTGTGTCATCCTTTCGCAAGGACCATGCTAATCTTCTCTGTATCGTTCCAGTTTTAGTATATGTGCTGCCGAAGCGAGCACTGGATGTTTTTGATAGTAAAACTAATCTGAAATATGAAAATTGATCAGTGTAGTTTTGTAGATTAAATCTTTTTAAAGCTTTTATTTACTTATTTCAGAGAGAGAGAGAACATGAAAGCATGAGTGGGGGGAGGGGTGGAGAGCAAAGCAGGCTCCCCACTGGGCTAGGAGCCCGGTGTGGGGCTCCATCCCAGGACCCCAGAATCATGACCTGAGTTGAAGGCAGACGCTTAACTGAGCCACCCAGTCACCCCTATTGATTAATTTTTTTTTTTTTTTAAAGATCTTTATTTATTTATTTGACAGAGATCACAAGTGGGCAGAGAGGCAGGCAGAGAGAGAGGGGGAAGCAGGCTCCCCGCTGAGCAGAGATATTTTTCCCGATGCAGGGGCTTGATCCCAGGACCCTGAGTTCATGACTCTGAGGCTTAACCCACTGAGCCACCCAGGTGCCCCATAAATTTAAAAAAAAATGAAACTTAATAGCTATCTCTTAGTTGGGGAGAATGTCTTATTATATAAAACAATAATGTTCCTTTTTGTTTTGGAAAAAACTTGCTTTAAACTGTTGATTTAAATACTTCCGTCTGGGGCGCCTGGGTAGCTCAGTGGGTTAAAGCCTTGGCCTTCGGCTCAGGTCATGATCCCAGGGTCCTGGGATCGAGCCCCACATCAGGCTCTCTGCTCAGCAGGGAGCCTGCTTCCCTTCCTCTCTCTCTCTGCCTGCCTCTCTGCCTACTTGTCATCTCTGTCAAATAAATAAATAAAATCTTAAAAATAAATAAATAAATACTACCGTCTTGTGAATGTGGATTCTGTGACTGCTTATTGGTTTTTAGCTCCCAGGTGTCATTTAATGAAATAGTTAATGTAGGCTTTTTGCTTTTTCTCATCAGCTTGGTTGAAATCAGAGTTTTGCTCTCGGGTCGGTGGGCCTGGTTGGGGAAGGCGTACTGTCATTTATGCCATGATTTAGGACAAGCTCAGAAGAGGACAGGCCCTGGATTGGTCAAGACTTTCCGAATAATAATAATAACAGCAGGCGTTAACTTAGAGCT